CGTTCGGGAGGTAAGCTATAACAGGGGTAAAGGAAGGGGGCCTTGTTTGGGGTTGGGGGGAAGGTAAACAGGGAACATTTTAGTGTTGAAAAGACTCCTCCCATCCACCCCTCCCCCTCTCTCGCTTACCTTAACGTCTCAAACAGATAGTCTCATAACATAACAATAAGGTCAGTTTTCGAACAGAACACAGGGTGATGAAGATCAGAAAATGGTTACTACTTGTAAGAGATATTTCTAGCTCTTTGAGCGTTAATAGTGCATGGCTTTTAGGGTCATTTTTGCAGCTATTTTGCAGCTATAGAGCATTACGCATGACTGTGCGAAGGCACAGTTCAAGGACACGACGGGCCACAGGACCACATCTCTTGTCGACCAGTCTCGGCAAAGTGTAAACACGAATTTCGCTGTATATAAAATACTGGAAATACTTTGAATAACAAGTGATGTCCTTCTTTTTGTCCAAAAGGTYCTTTTTGGAATACTGGTCAGTTTGGATAAGCATTCTAATMACTCTTTCGGTGTGACGTCAAGACCCTCTTCAGGATCTCAAGATCAGCATAATATTATGCCTCTGGCTCCCAACCCCCCTCGGTTTACTCTGCTTCCTCTTAGTTCGCACCATAGTTCTCTTTACCAGCCCACCGCGGACCATGACACCCGAAAGGTAAGACATTGGTTACGATGCAGCGAAATCCCGCTRCCCTACTTATTTGGATGTACGAGTGAACTGTCTTTCGGTGTTTTGGGACATTTACGAATACGCGCACGTGCGTACTAGTGGCAAGGAAACATTAAAATTTTCACAAAAATTACTGAAAAATTTACATAACGTTGATCCCTTTTATATGCCCTCGATTTCTCTCAAAACGCTGGAAATCGCATTTCCAAGAGTTGTTATTACAAAATTGGCGGTCGTTAGACCCCCAGATCCCAATTATGTGTCGTGGTCCCTGACATGTGCGTACTAGCCAAAAAGTCCACACTACGCGCCTGTTGAGATCACTTCTAAAACGAAAAGTGAAGAGAACGACTAAATTTTGAAAACTTTCAGCCACGTCGAAATAGAAGCGGTCGCAAAGGCCCTTGGGTCACGYGGGACTTTAATAAGACCAGGTCGAAAGCCACAGATCTCCTCCGTAACTGTCGCGAAGTTACTGACACATCATACATCGGAGAACAATGCGTCCGCCATCTTGAAAAGTGGGACTCGAATCACTAATCTAACTCCTAAAGGAATCAAAAAGTTCTAAGCAGAATACTTCTGGTTCTAAGCTAATGTCAAGTTAATATGATACGATATAATGATAGATTAGTAGACTTAGCAACTACGAAATATGTTCTAGGCACAACATAGTGATTCGGGTCTCACTTTTCAAAATGGCGGACGCAGTGTTCTCCGAAAGTTCTTATGCATGTATTCAAGCCCAGTTTTATTGTCATCTCTTTACAGATTAGCCGRCAGAGTGCTGAAACGGACTCATCATCGTCTCTCCAGACTAGTACGGCATTCTGTAGACATTACAATTTCTTTGATGTCCAGAAAACACCCCTAGAAGCATTATAGCACTTATGGTTTGATCAAAACCAATAATATGACCAAACTCGTGCTGTGATTGGCTACTGTTCACTGGATATCAGCTCATATCCTGTAGTTTATTCTCAACCGATGGATATAAGCAAACTCGTGCTGTGATTGGCTACTGTTCACTAGATATCAGCTTATATCCCTTAGTTTATTCTTAACCGACGGATATGAACAAACTCGTGCTGTGATTGGCTACTGTTCACTGGATATCAGCTCATATCCTGTAGTTTATTCTCAACCGATGGATATAAGCAAACTCGTGCTGTGATTGGCTACTGTTCACTAGATATCAGCTTATATCCCTTAGTTTATTCTTAACCGACGGATATGAACAAACTCGTGCTGTGATTGGCTACTGTTCACTGGATATCAGCTCATATCCTGTAGTTTATTCTCAACCGATGGATATAAGCAAACTCGTGCTGTGATT